ATACTTTATAAAACAAGGTAAAATTTTTTTTTTATTTGTTTTTTATTTTTACACACATATTTTGGTTTATCTTCCTTCTACAATCATTATCTGAAAATTAATGACTCAACTTCAAAGTCACCCTGTATATATATATATATATATATATAATTACTTGTTAATTGGGAAAATTGGCAAAACTTTTAGGCTAAAGTTGACTCTTTTGACGATAAAATCAAGCTTTCGGCATTCTCTAAGGAGCCATCATCAGGATTCTGGAAACACAATTGTGATACTAGCAAAGAAGACAGATTTAAAATGTCAGACAACTTACTCGTCGGTGAGGTTGCAGCCACAAGGTGTTTCAGAAAGAACGTAGAGAAGATCGAACTTGTCTTCAGTATAAAAACAAAAGGACGGGGACATTGGGCTTGTTAAAAACGGCAGATACCTTCGTTAAAAGTTAAGAAAAATAAAAATGTTTATCAATAAAACAATCGGAATGCAGTCCCCAACCTTCTACTACCGCTACACGTGGAGAGGGGGAAAGGCACGGAACGGTAAAGCGTCGACAGAAGACAAGTGATTGACGCGACGGAACGTGGAAATGTGCACCTCCCTGTCCAACTTTGGGTATGAAGTATACGAGGGACGCTCAGTAAATCTCCACTAAAATGCTGGAATAACTTGTTTTGGAACAGAGTGTTTGGTTCATCTGAGTGCAAGAATGTGTGATATTGATACAACCTTGAAATGATGGGTTATGTGAGTGAGAAAATGTATTCTAATTTTGTGAAGACGTTGGATCAATTTGGACATGTAAACGTTCTAGCTTTTCGCAATTCAACAGGTAGGAATAAGTGACACTGAGCTGCTTAACATCAGCCTTTTTATTCATGCAATGATCTGTCATGAAAATGTGGGACATTTCTAAAAATAGACGTTTTGAGAGTCTTTTTTCTTTATCAAGAACCTCAATACTGCCATAATTCATAGAGTGACCTGTGTTGTTAATATGCGACGCCAAAGCACATCTTTCTGGATGTAATCTGGCATCACTTTTGTGTGACGTTATCCTGCCTTTCAGCGACCTAGAAGTTTGGCCTATATAAACTAAATTCCACGTTCCGTCGCGTCAATCACTTGTCTTCTGTCGACGCTTTACCGTTCCGTGCCTTTCCCCCTCTCCACGTGTAGCGGTAGTAGAAGCTAGGGACTGCATTCCGATTGTTTCAACAAAATGTCTCCCCACGTGCAGTATTTTTAGCTTGTTCGGGTTTATTGATAAAAATTTTTATTTTTCTTAACTTTTAACGAAGGTATCTGCCATTTTTAACAAGCCCAATGTCCCCGTCCTTTTGTTTTTATACTGAAGACAAGTTCGATCTTCTCTACGTTCTTTCTGAAACACCTTGTGGCTGCAACCTCACCGACGAGTAAGTTGTCTGACATTTTAAATCTGTCTTCTTTGCTAGCATCACAATTGTGTTTTCAGAATCCTGATGATGGCTCCATAGAGAATGCCGAAAGCTTGATTTTATCGTCAAAAGAGTCAACTTTAGCCTAAAAGTTTTGCCAATTTTCCCAATTAACAACTAGTCGTTGGCTTTGGCAATGACTACTTCTCACATATATATATATATATATATATATATATATATATACAGGGTAGCCCATCCATGTGTGGACTGAATATTACTCATAAACAAATACACTTTGGGAAAATCTATTTATGGGATGTTATACATGAGATTTGAGGGCACATTTCTAAAATACTGGCCTTTATACATGGTGTCCCAATTTCGACCAACATATTTTATGGAGTTTGTGTCATTTTATTTAATAGCTTTTTCTTGTTTCCTAAACTCCGCAACGTCTCTCACATGCGTTGACACGGTTGATTTGATCCAATTCACCCATTGATCCGATTCGCCTCAGTCTACCCTACGCAAATTACATAGTTTAATATGCACTACAACCATTTTGAGTACTACCATTTAATTTTAATTAATTTCAATGAAAGCAAGTCAAAAGTTGTTACCAAAACATTTTGATCGTTTTCAATTTTTAAGTATTTTACTGAACTCGGGGTGTGAAAAAGTACGTGGGTCACAACTTCAACCAATGCGAAGGCGTTTGTGAAGTAATGGATCTGATGAATATGGTCTATTTTTTTGTAAAATGTCTCTCAAACTAGAGAAAATGTATACGATTTGTGTAAGATAGACCCCTAATTCCCATATTAAATATCAACAAATACTTTAAACATCACTTGGTCAAGCTACAAAATCATTTTTTTTTTAATTTGCCCCCGGACAATAAATTAGTGGCCTTGATCATATATCATGCAATCATGAAAAATAAGCAAATGCGCTTTACTCGGAGCATGGACACTAAAGTTAATGGCCGTATGGTTAGTCGTACCTACAATTGTAGGACGCCTTTATGACCTCCTTAATTTTCATGGTTTTCTACTTTTTTATACCGACGCAAAATATATTTATAGCATGTTATACATGACATTTGAGGGAACATTTCTAAAATATTGGCAATTATACAGGGTGTCCCAATTTTGACCTACATATCAAAGTTGTGATTTTTTAAATGGAATGCCTCAAATTTTATAGCACATTTGGATAAACCAATTCAAAAGAAGAAGATTGATATAACATACTATGGGGTTTTGGTAATTAACTACTGAGATGTAAGGTGTTTTGTCCAGCAAAACCGTCCACTTCGGCAACCCCTCAATCCGCCATTTTGAAAGTTGGAGTGCTGATTATTATATCAAAAAAAAATTAAATACCTCAACTTTTATATTTGTTACTTTTTCGAATTTTCATTTTTCCTCATACAGGGTTGTCAAAAACGCGAATTGTAGTTTTTCTCAAAAAATTTAAATGCATCACCCTGTATATTTGTGCAAGTTTGGATTCAATTTTTAATAAGGTTTTTTTTTTGGTATAAGGTTTGATAAAATCACAATATGGTGTTCGTTTTGCGCGAAGCCCAAAGAAATAGTTTCCTAGCATCTCGCATTTATTAGCAACGGTACCCGACGACGGCGACAAAGCCGGAAACATTTTCTACACTACGAGAACGTTTTGAATCAAGTGGGGCAGTGGAATATAGTAAAAAATGTATAGATAATCCAACTGTCACCAATGAGGTGAATCAGTTGGAGGTTCTACTAAAGCTGCAGGAAAATCCCCATTTAAGTGCACGGCAAATTGAAGCAAAAACTGATATATGCAGAACTTCTGTCCAAAGGATTATTCACAAGCAGGTACCATCCATATCACCTATGCTTGCATCAATCCTCAGGATTTCGCAGCTCGAATGGAGTTTAGTAGAATCATGCTAAATAAAGTGAGTGAAGACACTACTTTCCTGGATAAGGTTCTTTTTAGCGATGAGGCAACTTTTAACAGCATAGGTGTTGTCAACAGGCATAACATGCACTATTATGCGACGGAAAACTCTTACTGAATGTTTGGGGAGGAGTTATTGGCAGACAAGTTATCGGGCCTTTCTTGTTCGACAACAGATTAACAGGTACAGAATACTTGAATTTTTTGATCGAGCATTTGCCTTTGCTTTTGGAGGATATCAACTAGGGTTGCTGAGGATTCCTCTTCCGCTTCCTCATAATGCGGAAGTTCCGCAATATTTTGGGTTCCTCAACCGTTACCGCATCCTCATAATAAAAATGAAAATAATCCTCTTCCGCTATCGCTTCCTCAAAATTTAAGAGGAATTTATGAGGAATTTCACTGCGCATGCGCGTCGCGTATCCATGGTAACTCACACGCCGCAGCGCGATGCCGGGCGGAACGGGCGAGCGAGACCTCCCCTCCCGCCACCCGTGCTTTTCTTTGCTTGTTTCAACTTGTTTTAATTTTATTGAAATAGCAAATAGCAAGCGTTGTTTTGTTTACGCGCGTATGCAACTATACACGCAGTGCAAATAATATAATCTAATAATTTGATTTCTTTTATCAAAAATCGAAATGAGACCGAAGTGTAGTGCTATATGGACGTACTTTAATGAAGTAGACGATCAGACTGTGCGTTGTAACTTGTGCAATCAAACATATTCAAGAAAAGGGCGCGGGACTTCTGGGCTACGGAGTCATCTCCAGTCACGTCATAAAACGGAATATACGGAGTATGAAAAATGCGATGCGGCTTCGAAAAAGGCTGAAGTGGAAAAGAAACGTAAGTGCACAGAAGAAACTTCTCTTCAGTTGGTCAAGAGGCAAGTTACTTTACAAGAGTCATTAATGAAACACCAGTGCTGGGATTCATCACATGAAAAAAGTCGTGAGCTAGATAAATTAATCTGCGAAATGATTGCATTGCAAGATTTGCCTTTCAATTTCATTGAAGGTATTGGTTTTACACGTTTTGTCCAAGCCGCACAGCCTAAATATGATCTAAAAAAACGTCAGTATTATACTTCGCATTTGTGTAATTACGTTTATCCTAAACTTTATGAAAAGATTAAAAACTTGATAAAAGATTTGGAATACGTGTCTTTCACTACTGACATATGGACAGAGCCTGGAGTTGGTGTTTCTCTGCTTAGTTTTACGGTCCACGGCATTAATGATGATTTCAAAAGAGTGTCTTTAGTTCTTAAATGTGTCACTCTCGAAGAACGACACACGGGCGATCTGGTAGCTCAAAAACTTGACGAAATACTAGAGGAATGGGACATTCCTCGGCAAAAGCTACATGCAATGGTCCGTGACGGTGGATCTAATATGAAACGAGTTGCCCGTATCTCACAAATCGACGATATAGATTGCACCTTACATCAATTACAATTGTGTGTACGTTCAGCTTTGGCGTCTAATGAACATTTCTCAACGCTGTTGGCTAAATGTAAGCAGATTGCGACGCACTTCAATCACTCTATAACTGGACAAAAGGAATTGAACGACTTTCAAGAACGCCTAGGTTTACCTCAGCTGTCAGTTATCCAATAATGTGCTACTCGGTGGAACTGCATGTTTTATATGATTGAGCGACTTATTAAGATAAAGGATGCTATCATATTATATACATCGCAACACCCAAATTTGCCGCAACTTGTACCAAGTGATTGGGTAAAACTTGAAACCTGTACGAGGATTCTGAAACCCTTTGAAGAGGTAACTAAATCTTTGAGCAGCACTGAGGCATGTATATCCTCTGTTATGTTACCGAACTCCTCCTAAACTGCTGGACCGATTTTGATGATTCTTTATTGCGTGTCTTTTGAGAATGGTTTAGATTCATAGTTTGGTCCACTGAAAAATGCCCTTTTAATTAATTTTGTGTATGTACATATGTACCTAGTTATGTACAGACAGAACAGCGGCTTTTGGGTTGGGTCCGCTAATATTTATAATTTCCTCTTCCTCATCCGCTTCCTCATCCGCTTCCTCTTCCTCAAAAAATATCCTCTTCCTCATCCGCATCCTCTAAATTTGCGCGTGACAATTCCTCTTCCTCCTCCTCTTCCTCATAATCACTTCCTCAACAACCCTAATATCAACCTGCAAACTCGGATGCATATGTACTTCCAACATGACGGCGCACCTGCGCATTATCCTAGATCACCAGATATGACACCGATTGACTCCTTTCTATGGGGCTACGTTAAGCTAGAGGTTTATAGATATCCACCGTCTACCCCGGAAAATATGAAGGAAAGGATTAAGGATGATTTTCTTAACATAGGAAAACACATGCTGAGGGATAGCAACGGTCATTTAACCAAAGAATATGGCAATATGGAACTAGCCCACTGTTTGTCTTTTGTTTCCATGGATGATGTGAGTTTTTTACTTAACCCTTTGGCGACGGGAGCCGGTTATATTCGCAAAAAAAAGGTAGTGTCTGTTATACGGGAAACGTATATTTACGCAGCGATAGAGGTCCCGGTTAACTACGGGAAACGTGTTGATCAGCATATGTCGGTATTTGTTTGTACCAAATACTATGCATACAAGCGAAAATTTTCGGTGGTGGGGAAACAGTCATGCAGAGAATTGTCGCACAGGTGGCACCATCAAGACAGGTTGCAGCACGTTTACTTGACCATTATTCTTCGATCGCGAGTAGTGATACTTTAGTTATTTTACTTTATATTTGTCTCGTAGTGAGTTAACAGATCAGGAGTTGTTAAAAATATCACAGAATATGCGATTCTGAGGGAGATTTCGATGGCGACGCCGAGGAATGAGAAAATATCCTATCAAGAAGATCAAAACGATTGTTGGACAAACTAATACTGGGTGATTCACAAGTCGTGACCAAAAATGAAATGTCATACACAGGGCCGCATTTTAAGGGGGGTCGTTTATGTAACATTTTTTCCTCGAGATCTTTATTAAAAAGATACGGGGTGTTGAAGTTTGAAAATAAAAAACAATTTTTTTTTAATATCTTCAAAACCGTCAACTGGAATGAACTAAAATTTGGTATGTGGATTTACCTAAGTACCTGTATTGTCCACATTCAACAGTCTATACTCAACATTAACGTGCACCAGTGGCGGAGATACGGGGATCAGTGGCATTATTTTTCCAAATAAAAATAGTACGCCACTGTTTTTTTTTTCGCGCAATTTTTGGAATTTTACCTCCAATTTGCTACAAAGAATTACTCTTGTGTTTTTTCCTAGAGTGCAGTTTTCGTAAGAATAAAAATAAAACAAATTGGATCATTCATGAAGAGCCAAGATACAATTAGTTTCAAAATAAAATATTAGGCCTTGATACCAACTTGACGTTTCTTAGGAGATTGTTTGTCAACGTTATGTTATTATACGGTTGTTATCGTTACTATTAAAATTTTTTTTCGTTTGTAAAAGTCAAGTGAAAAGTTTCTTTTTTCCATTTTTGAGTGTTGTGAAATGGAATTTAGGAATGATGAGTACGCCGATATTATTTCTGTGTACGGGTTCTCTGATGGAAATGGTTTAGCGGCTTTTCGAGAGAATCAACGTAGATTCCCTAGCAGACTCCAACCTACCCAAAAGATCTTAACGCGTTCATTTCTAAGACCAATCTTCCCGGAGTTGGAAGCCATGGTATCCGGCATACTGTTCAAGAGGAACTGGAAGTCATAAATTTGGCGTTGGATGATCCTTGTACAAGTACTAGGCGAATTGCAGCCCAGTTACCATGTTCCCAAAGTCTCGCGTGGAGAATTTTAAGTCGGGAAGTTTTACATTCTTACTATCGGCAAAACGTGCAATGTCTGCAACCCGGCGACGAAGTGCAACACTGTGTTAAAATGTTAAACGTTCCATTTGCATTTGTATATTCAGATATTGTTACTTACGTTGTGTTTTTGTTATATACATAAATATATGTTTGTATTTGTATTTTTGAATAACATTTTTGTATGAAAATGTCTTTGGAAATTGAAATGTTATTTTTTTAATTATCGCTATTTTACTAAAGATATAATAAAAAATACAAAGACGCATAGTCATTATTAACGGTAAGCGGATAGATCAGCGCGTCATAAAATGTTGATTTGGAACGGAAAGCGGATAAATCAGCAAGCGGCGTTTTCCCCGCTCAACTCTAGTGATTTTATCTAAATCAAACCTTATACCAAAAAAAACCTTATAAAAAAATTGAATCCAAACTTGCACAAATATACAGGGTGATGCATTTGAAATTTTTGAGAAAAAGTACATTTCGCGTTTTTGACCACCCTGTATGAGCAAAAATGAAAATTCGAAAAAGTAACAAATAAGATAAAAGCTGAGGTATTTAAAATTTTTTTGATACAATAATCAGTACTCCAAATTTCAAAATGGCGGATTGAGGGGTTGCCGAAGTGGACGGTTTTTCTGGACAAAACACCTTACATCTCAGTAGCTAATTACCAAAACCCCAGAGTATGTTATATCAATCTTCTTCTTTTGAATTGGTTTATCCAAATATGCTATACAATTTGAAGCATTCCATTTAAAAAATCACAACATTGATATGTAGGTCAAAATGGGACACCCTGTATAATTGCCAATATTTTAGAAATGTTCCCTCAAATGTCGTGTATAACATGCTATAAATATATTTTTCCAAAATGTATTTGTTTATGAGTAATATTCCGTCCACACATGGATGGGCCAACCTGTACAAGGTCCAGATAAGGCCTAGCCCCGAGTATTGCTCACACGTTTGGTGTGCATCCGCCCCGATTACACTGTTTATGCTCGATGCTGTCCAGAGCAGTGCTGTCCGACTGATCGATGATTCCTCTCTAACAGACTGTCTCGGGACTCTCGCACCGGCGGGCCGTCGGCGATCTAGCTATCTTCTACCGTTACACCAATGAGCTTTGTTCCACAGAACTCTCCTCCAGAACTGGCCGACACGACCGTTCCTTTATCCCGAGGGCGTCGAGACTGTGGAACAATCTACATGAGGTAGATTTTCCCACTTCTACTAGCCTTAGGCAGTTCTAAAATCAGATTATCAAAATTTCTTTGTGAATCCTCATAGCAGCCGCGGTGTCCTGACATTTAGGCTTCTGCCTGCGCGGCAGCTTCGCTATAAAACCAGTAGAAAACCATGAAAATTAAGGAGGCCATAAATGCGTCCTACAATTGTAGGTACGACTAACGATACGGAAAATAGACCATATTCATCAGATCCATTACTTCACAGACGCCTTCTCATTGGTTGAAGTTGCGACCCGCGTACTTTTTCACACCCCGGGTTCAGTGAAATACTTAAAAATTGAAAAGGATCTAAATGTTTTGATAACAATTTTTGAGTTGCTTTCATTGAAATTAATTAAAATTAAATGGTGGTACTCAAAATGGTTGTAGTGCATATTAAACTATGTAATTTGCGTAGGGTAGACTGAGGCGAATCGGATCAATGGGTGAATTGGATCAAATCAACCGTGTGAACGCGTTATTCAAAATACTAACGGATGTCATATTTTGATCTGATTCGACTCGATCTACCCTACTTTAAAAAATAAGTGCTTATACGTACAGTATTTGAATCCATAAAACATTATTTAAACTCAAACTAAGCACAGCATGTGAGAGACGTTGAGGAGTTTAGGAAACAAGAAACAGCTATTAAATAAAATGACAAACTCCATAAAAAAAACATTAAATGTGAGTACCTCTCGACTTGATCAATTGAATTAGCCTATATCAGTAATTTTATTGTTCATTTTTCAGTTACAGATAGAGCTGTTACCCGCAACTTCGTATGCTTGAAACTGTTACTAACACAAAACATTGTTTTTGAGTAATGATCACGTTTTGTAACTTGTATCGTTGATGGCATTACTAAATTGTATGCTTGGGAAATTTGGTTAATTTATTAGTGTACCGTATGTCCAAAAAGTTTTGGCACAAAGGTCATTGGCTTTAATTTTAACAGACATAAAATAATATCAAGTTACCTTTGGAAACAAAAGTTTGTTTAGTTACGTTACTGTCAGTTGACATTTATTTATTTTGAAGTCTTCGCTTTAAGATGTCGTATAATTAGAAATAAGAAAAAGTATCTACAGGTTGGTTGGATGGGTACCCAAAGCTGAAATCTGTCGAATATTCCAGAATGAAAACATTTATCGAACAATAAGTGCACAGAGTTCGAGCAGGGAATACCATATCTGAATTTCCCAAAAAGTGGAAGACCACGTGCATTTACTGCAGAGGTCAGAGATATTGGTGAGAAGACCAAAAAATCAGGTTGGACTGTCAACAAGGAGACTGGCTCCTCAATAGAGATATTCTAAGAGTACGATATCGTTGGAATTGAGGAATGGTCTTAAATATCGAAAGAGACTTAAGTGCCCCAAATACTCTCAAGCGCGTAATGAGTAATTCTAAAGTGAGGGGAAACGACGGATTTTATACGGACAACGTAGAGGAATGCCCTGACAATATTAGATACAAACATAAAGCGAAATTTGCAGATAAAATCCTGTCTGGTGCGCAATTTCTAACAGGGGTGTATCCGAACTTTTTGTGGGAAGAGTGAGAAGTGAAGCTTTGAATAATCCGAGTTATACTGATAACTGCATTTCCAAATAGCTTCAGTTTGTCCAGTTTGCTAATGACCATATCATGTTTGGTCCAAACCTAGCATCAAGCAATTACCCAAAACTAGCTTCGACAACA